AAATTTGAATTGATTTGAATTGTAACCGACAACTGAAAAAATGGAAGATAAGACAGCTGACGCGAGAACAGAGGAGGATTTGCGCGATCAAAATTGCAGTGTTGGCTAAAACGACGTCGTTTTGGATAAGAAATCTTTTTTTTTTTTTTGGGGGCATGAAGTGTACCGGCCAAAATTTTGTGTATCGGCCGGTACACCGGATTTTGATCGAAACGGTCGAATTTTGACCAAAACAAAATTTAACGTTGTACCATTTTGGTCAAATGTCAAAACCGATACGTACCGATCGGTACGGGATTGACTTCTTTGGTGTAAACACTCTCAATTTCATAAATAGAAGAGCCCATTTCTGTCAATTTTTTCCCTCAACTTTCCTCCAAAAGTTATTTTCAGTTCCTCTTTTCTTTTCCTTTTTGCCCATTTATTGTGCAAAAAACATGTAAATTTGCACACGTAAAAGCTAAGCCTCCATGACGATGCAAGAAATTTCCAACAAGTAATAATATTTTATCTGAATTTAGGAGAAATATGCGAAATCCCTCCCATGAAAGGCCTCAATGGATCCGGGATTATAACAGACCCATCCTCTTGCTGATAATTCTCCAGCAAGCACACCAGCATCCGAGGGACTGCACAGGCTGTTGCATTTAGTGTGTGAACAAATTGTGTTGGTGCAAGATTGCTTTTGCCTTTCTTAGGATTTGTTGTTGATTGTGATTCTGAGGGACGATATCGGATTGCAAGTCGGCGACTTTGGTAGTCTGTACAATTTGATGCGCTAGATATCTGCGTAAAATATGAGATCGAAAATGTTTTCATAGTTGTCAAGCAAAGTCATTAAGGAAACTTCCCAAGGAAATACTGAGCCTATATAAATGAGTAAAATTCCAGTAGGATAATGATATTGTATACCTCACCATACCGTCCCAAACCTGGCATCCATGCCTCTATATCAAATTTGCGATAAGCAGGAGCACCCAAATCTCCTGTAGCCATATCCAAAGTTCTGCCAAAAGAATACTGATTGTTACAAAATCAATAAAACAAAGCCAGAATGGAATAGACAAAAGGTCAGTTGAGTTTACTTAAAGTGTAATCCTAGAGATGAGAAGAGTTCTTCTTCAAGTTTTATAAGCTCCTCATGAAAGGAATCACTTTCCTCTCCTCGGCATAAAATGAACATTTCCACCTTGCTGAACTGATGGACTCGATAAAGACCCCTGCTTAGAAGTGCTGAGAGCTCAATTTGGATGCATAAATTTAATTTTTGCAATAAAGAATACTTTATCGCTATCTTAAGTACACAAAAAGGAAGTAGGAAAAAAGACATGAGAAGCAAATAGAAAGTAAATTACCTAGTTGCCATTCCAGCAGCACCAGCCTCAGTTCGAAAACAATGAGAAAATGCAACATATTTCAAGGGCAACAATGACTCAGGAAGAATAGAATCCATATGAATTCCCCCCACAGGGATCTCTGCAGTCCCTATGAGACACTGGTCACTGTCCTCAATGGAGTAAACCTGTTGACGTTTGAAATGAGCATCATAAACCAATAGATTATTTCATTTGTAGAAGTCTGAAAGCAGAATATGGACATGCCTGAGTATTCTCTCCACGAGGTTGGAAACCACATTTTTCAACAACAGAGGATCTAACAATTTCTGGGGTTGTTAGTGGTGTGAAGCCCCTTTTCATGACTTCTGAGAGTGTCCAGTTGATAAGGGCCATCTCCAGCATCACTGCTTCATTCTTCAGGTAGTAAAATTTTGAACCACTTACCTGTACAAGAACCAGCACACAGAGACACCTTACCCTTGTTAGTTTGAGCAGAAATAAAATCTTTTAACAATATTTATGTTATGGCACGAGAGCGTGACTTGCAAGATCAAACTTAATTTGGATCTTGATATACCAAGTTACAGTAACTTCTCTATCAAAACATCACTCTTTCTAGTTTCAACCAACTATCTTTTGTTTTGTTTTTGGTTTACAGTGCAGTTATATACTACAAAAGATCAGCTTGATTAAACAGGCTACAGGCAAGAAAGCTAATTAACCAACTCAAAAAGGGTAGCAGTTAAACTACAAAATGAAATAGCTGAATTTCATGATTGACAATAAAACCCTTAACAATTTCAACAAAACCAATCAAAGATGCTTCGATATGTTTGATTTAACAGAAAAAGTACCTCAGCAGCAGCATCAAAATCAAAAAGATCAAGTTCTTTTCCAAGTTGAAGGTGATCCTTGACAGGGAACTTGAACTCATGTTGGCTACCAACCTACACCAGCATATTAATTATTAGGGAAAACAATCAAGTCAGCAACATTCTCCTAACCGAAACACATGGGATGTAAACACAAGGGATATAAAAACAAGCAATAGCAATACCAAATTCCTAATTTTCGAACTATCCTCTCCACCAATTGGAACATCTGCGTGAGTCATATTCGGTATACACTGTGCTTCTCCCTGAAGCTCATCTCTTAGTTTGATGAGGTCTTCTTCCAAAGCCATCAACCCTTCCTTCAGATTCTTTCCTGAATGCAAGACACAAGACCCCAAAATAAGATACAAGGAAATCACCAAACCTCCAAAGAAAACCTGACCATTCCTTCCACCGTACCTTCTTCTATGAGCTTTTGACGCTCCAATGGTTCCAATTTTCCTTTCATCTTGTTTGCAACCACATTCCTCTCCCCTCGAAGCCGCTCAACTTCCTGCTATCTGGAGCAACAATTAGCTAGTAAATTGAGAAGAAAACCAGTTTGCTTGCTTCGCATTGTCACAAAACATTGACATATTCAAATTAAACAACCCAGTAGCTATCTAATCAACAACATTAAGGAATTCAAAAAAATCACCTTCTGAAGATTCAACATTTTATCATAAAGTTGAAGCACAAGCTCCAGATTGGCATTTGAATTCCTATTCTTAATATTAGCAGCAACCGCTTCCTTATTGTCCCTTATCCACTTGAAATCTATTGCCGCTCTCCACTGCGGCCTCAGAACTAAATCACAACGAAAGATAGAATAAGAGCGACTAGAATTAATCAAATTAAACCGAAGGAAAAACAATAGGAAATGCAGATGGACCTTTATTGTCGGAGATTTCTGCGGCAGGAGCGGCTTGAACGGCTTGAGCTGAGAGAGCCCTGGCAAGCAGAGTGAAGCGAGGTCTCTGGCGGGAAACCAGAGCCGCCGTTAGGGTTTTGGTTACTGTCCGGAAAACGAATTGTGAAGAAGAAGAAATTAACACAGGGAGCGCCGCCAGTTTTAGGGTTCGAATGGATGTACTCTGCAACCCCATCATTGGGTTTGTGGCGCTAGGCAGTCTGCACAGAGGTCGTAGCGCTGAGACGAAAACAGAAAGAAAGGAAGAAAGGATAACGGATACGACGTCGTATTCATCGACGGTTATTCTCATATTTGGCTATCCGAGGGATAAATTTTGGACCAATAGGAAGCGCGTATTTGACTAAAGGGATCGAAGACACATACCAGAGAAGCAATCGCAACCGTTGATTTCCGCCTCCAGAAACACAAAGGAATAAATCACTAATCGTCCGATTGCGCGCAGTAAAATCGAATCCTAGTCGGAAACGTACCCACGTTTTCTCCACGTTCAACCCTTATATATAGGGGGACACGACGTTTTTGCTTCCGCTCATTGAAGACATTCTCTGCTCCAGGTTTCAGAGAGAAAGATTTTCAGGTAGCACCGGATTTTCCTTCTGCATTCTAGGGTTTCGAGATGGCTCGTACGAAGCAGACTGCTCGTAAGTCAACCGGCGGCAAGGCTCCGAGGAAGCAGCTCGCAACGAAGGTTTTCTTTTTTTTCCTTCTTTAATTGATTCCTTGATGTTAGCATTGTGTTCTCTGTCAATTTTTTTTTTGATTTCTGGTTCTCAGGCTGCACGAAAATCGGCTCCGACAACAGGAGGCGTCAAGAAACCTCACAGATTCCGCCCCGGAACCGTAGCTCTTCGGTTAGTCATCGAACCACCTTGGCTTCGCAATTTAATGTACTGCATTTGCATTTCTTGATTTTAATTTTGATTCGTTAACTTGATGCAGTGAAATCCGCAAGTATCAGAAGAGCACCGAGCTTCTGATCCGGAAATTGCCATTCCAGAGGCTTGTTCGTGAAATTGCTCAAGACTTTAAGGTACTGTATATGATTACGTTCACGTTATGATTACAATTGAGTGCAAAACGAGTTGATGTTTGATGAATAATGGCAATTTTTCTCCCTTTGCTTTTGTAGACTGATCTCCGTTTCCAGAGCCATGCGGTGTTGGCGTTGCAAGAGGCGGCGGAGGCATACCTTGTTGGTTTGTTCGAGGACACCAACCTCTGCGCCATCCATGCCAAGCGAGTTACAATTATGCCCAAGGACATTCAACTTGCTCGTAGAATTCGTGGTGAGAGAGCTTAATCTGCTCTGCTGGGAGGAAAATGATAGCTAATGTTCAATGTTATACTGGGTGACTTTGTGTTTTGGGATATCTTGATGGGTTAATCCAAATACAGTAGGGTCTTTTTTTTCTTCGATTTTGTACTGAACCCATTCCAAGTTAATACATCAGGTTTTTGATAAAAGTAGCATTCTCTTGCATATTACGTTATCAATAGTGAATCAAGATCGAACTCTGGAATATGAAATAAAAGTTGAAATTTTATGAATGATTAACAAACTATTATTAATTGGGTTCCATGTTTACCCTGTAATTGCTACATGGAGAAGTATGATTGAAAATTTTGAAAGAAGAAAGCTTCCATCTTGGTTGATGAGCAAACTAGTTATGGAGTACAGAAGAAAAGAAACTAGTTCTAACATGCAATCCAAAATTTCTTATTTGAACTCATCGCTTTAAATTGAACAAATTCCTGAGAATGCACTTCTCATTCAAGAGTCATCTCTGCTAACTTGGACAAAACAGCGGGAAGCACAGCTGCCGCCATCTACAGAGGACCTGGAAAAGTTCCATTTTCCCTTTGTTCATTCCATCTGTCTATCTGCCACCCCAAAACAGTAAAAACAATTAGCTTAAAGTATAAGAAGGCCACTAAGGAGGTAAAAGCAAATCTTTCAGGTATACTACTATCAGCAGCCAATGACGGATTATTGTCTGCAAGGAAAATCTTAGACATTGTTGTTTGATGGGTATCAAGCTATCAAACACCAAGCTTGTGTAACACTGCAATCCTGGTTTTAATGCATGACTCTCTTGAACTAATGAATTGCACCTTCCATCATCACCTAAAACAATGCACATCATAATGTATTGTAAACAAACATGGTTTCTTTCAACCTCAGAGACATTTGGACTTAACATAGAACCAGCTCTTCATTTTTTAGAGTCAAAGTATGATAGACCAGAGATAATCTTCTGGCAAAATCTTAAAAGATATGGAACCAAAGCACTAATTTATTGGTGTATTCTGGTTTTAAAAAATTCAATCAAGTGGAGTGGATAAAGCCAAACATTTTTTTCCTACCTCTTCTTTTGCCTCAACTTTTATCATGACAAGTCGTTGTATCAACAAGTAAAAACCATCTATTAAAAATGAAAGAAAAACCTTTCCAACAAGTAAAATGATTCACTTAAGACATATTTCACACTCTGATCTGACAGTGCCATTACCATAAGCATATCCTCAACTAAAGGCCAGTATTGCCGTAAAAAACACCTCTGTCCACATGATAGGAGGGCACAAGCCTCACCGCATATAACACAGGTGAGTAAGGAATAGCAGTAGTTCAGCAAAAAAAAACTTGTCATCATAAGAGCAAAAAGGAAACAAGCAAATAAATAAACGAGGATTACATGAGAGAAATAGCCTGAAAGATACATACCCATTCACCAGGGCATAGTGAGCGATAATATTTTGCAAACTTATCGCACTCTGGGGCACCTTCTCCCTTGGCAGCTATGCAGCTACACAAATAGATAAATAAATAGCATGTTAAAATGCAATGCCAGATCAACAGACCTTCATAATATGCACATATCATAAACCAAGCTCAACTCACCGATGATATTCAATGTATCGAGTAAAGCAATGCCTTGTTTGATTTGTAGTTGGGAATCGAAAATCTGCTGGTGCAGTCTCAAGCTGAAAATCAAACACGCAACCAAAGCACATGAGATAACAACCACATGAACCATGAATTAAAGCAATATGATTCAGATAGGTAGCCAGAAAACCAGAAACTGTTGATAAATAGTTCGGCAGATCAACCTTTATCTCAGGTGTCTCTTCAGCATCACCAGAATTCTCTTCAGTGGTTTCACTGCTTTCCTCAGCAGGAGCATCTTCAGCACCACCTACAACAGCAGAACTGGCCTCAGTGCTTTCTTTGGCAGCAACTTCAGCAGGTGGGGCTTCGGTGCTTTCCTCAGCAGCAGCAGCTGGTGTTTCCTCCACTTTCTCAGAGACAACTTCCTTGGATGCAGAAGTTGCTGGATTTTCAACTTCTTTTGCTTCCACAGCTTTTGTAGTCACATCAGGCTTCTCTTTCTCCAACAAATATTGCTATATGTCAATTGTCAAAGCATTAGGCTTCCATTAGTTAGCTCATAAACTATCAAGGAGGAAAACATACTATTGAGCTTGCTGAAAGACAACGACAGACCAACAGGTTCAAACAGGTCACATCTTTGATAGAAACCAGTCAAGGCTTCCAAGCTCTGATTAATATGCCCCAAATTTCCAATTAACTCTACATTATGAGTTCTATACATTAAAATGCTGACAGCCTAAAGTATCTTATAATCCAATTACCAATATGGAAGCTTCTTCTAGATTTGGATCAGAATTCTAGAACTACTCTCCATCATAACTTAACACAGATTGACATTGTATGATAGATTCACACCACAACATTACCCCCAAAAATCACTTCACCCTTCATCTTCATCATTACCTTAACACCATATTGACTGGGAGAGTGTTTTCTTTGAGTTTCATTACAGAAACAGAAAGAAAAGAAAAATTAATATCCATAACAGTCCACACAGACTGCTGCAAAAATAGATTATCAATCAACACGGATCGAGCTCAGAATACAATCTCTCTTATCAATTTTGCTCCACTCATTTTTAATGGGATTTTATCCTAACATCGCTTGATATCAAATCAAAGCAACTGAAAATTAGAGATTCAGCGGTGGAAGAAGAAAAGGGAAGGAGAAAAACGATACCTCAGATAGGGTCAGGGATTTCTCGGTTTGAGCTTCCGCCATTGCCGGAAGGAAGATGCGATCTTGAGTTTTGGTCTCAGATGGCTGCGAGTTCCAGAGAGACGGCCAAGAACGTAACGAGAAGTTGGGAGAGCAGATAAAGTGGTTAGGTTATGAATTATGATCGACTGATTTACTGTTTCACAGTGGAGGTGAAAATGTCTCAGGCAGACACCGAGACCGACAGCCCTGCGTGTGTCACTGTGTGCCCATGGCAATGGCAATACTTGGAATCTGGGCTGGCCCGAGAGACCAGAATATTTGGGCCGGACTGACAATTCCTAGTCCCTGACTCTGTTCCTTTTTTCTGGGTAAAAAAATTTTGGTTAAAATATCAATTTGGTCCTTTAACTTCCAGATTTATATCAAATTTATCCATCAACTTCAAAAAGTACCAAAATTAACTCTAAACCTTAATTTTTAATACTAAAAAAATCCTTCCGTTAATAAAAATATCATTTAATTCATTATTTTATCACAAAATTAGTTCTTTTTTAAAATGATAATGATGTGTAATTTCAAACAATCATATTTTGTTATCGTAATATATTTTTATGTATATATCAATTTAATATATAATTAAAGTTGAAAAACTAAATTGATATTAATAATTAAAGTTTAAAGACTAATATGATACTTGTTTTCAAAGTTTAAAGACTAAACTAATATTATTTTTCGAGTTTGAGGATCATTTTGGTATTAAAAATTAAAATTGAAGGATAATTTTAGTATAAATTTAAAACTTAAAGAATCAAATTAATATTTTAATTAAATATTTTTTAAGGAGACTTATAAAGAACAAAGTCAAAATATATATAAAATTATTTAAATGCTTTTAATAAGTACCTTTCCACCAACATAAAAATCAACATCATCTCTATCTTCTTCTTTTATAAAAAATTAATTAAGGAGGAGTGGTTTGAAAATTCTGCTTGAAAATGAATACTTATAAAAGAGAAAAGGTAGAATATTCAAAAGATATCGAACTGGTTATGTATAATTTTAATAATTGCGTTTTAGTGGGCATTTGCTAATATCGTTTATCCACCTTCTCTTAACTAACTTCATGATAACAATCAAGAATATAACAGAGTGGGTATTTACTAAAAATTTTGATAATCAAAATTAAGATGAGCAGTTTAAATTCATGCAATCTAAAGCAATTAACTCTTAATGTGCACCTTGTTCAATGGAAATCATGATTAGAGCATCTGCCCAGACTTGATGCTTGATGCTTGATTGGGGGCAATTCTAGAACATTTTGGTCAAACATATGTGTGTCACTCACCTATTATACTAAAAGAATACATCAATTGAGGTAGGTAAAGATCACATCTCTCGCATGTTTGTGTTCTATTGTTGCAGCTACAAGACTAGGGGAGGGAGGGGGAATAAAAAATAAAAGGCCCCACAGATAGCATCAACTATTACCTATCTAAGTTGTGTTTTACCAAATAATAGCTACCGAATTGTCAACAAAAAACTGAAAAATGAAGTTGTCAACAGTTTCCCTCAACTAAAATTCAATGCATTCCCCCTTCAACTTCGCGAAAAAGAAACCTCAACCCTAGAGATAAGTCCATACCACCCTTTGGATTGGTGGATAGGTGTGGGGGAATGACACTGATGCAACAGACCGCAAGCACCCTTTTCAAACTAAAGAAATTATGCGAAGACACACAGGACATGCTTGTCTCTCAACGACAAAATTAGCATGCCAGAAAAATAACCTACAGAATTATCAAATGCAAAGTTCATCCCCACTCTACACTTTGGCTCAACGTTGGATGGAGGATATTGAGAAATAAAAACTTGCAAATCATGTTGAAAGATCAACATTATTGTCTCTAAAGGAGTGATTTAACTAGTTAAAAATATAAAAT